CCGCCTAGGCGGCCTAGGCGGGTCGGGTCCTCTTTTTTTTTGTTTTTTTTGTTTTTTCCAAGTAGCAAAAATATGAGCATTAGAGATCAATTGCATAATAGCATTAAGGCTGAGGATGTATTTGAATTACTATCGTATGTCAGGTTGGGTGGGGTGTTCCAACATGAGTACATTGTGAAGGGTAAATTCAGCCCAAGTTTGCTGATTTTTCAGCAAGTTAGAATCTCTTCAAGGTTTAAGTTCCCTTTCCTTTGGATAATATATCTCATGAGTATAACAGATCATGAAAGAAACGAAAAAACACTTAAAAAGGCATTCCATTTTTCATGGTAAACAGAGTAAGCCTATCAAGATGCTATTCTTTAGTCATATTTTCCTGCTTGCTCTGTTATTTTAATTGTATATGGCTGAATAGTGTGTTCAGTTTCTCTTCTGTTACATGTTGTCCATTCGACTGAATCTTTAAGAGTCTTTCTTGGTTGAGTTGCTGCAATCATTTTAAACAACCAATAGCCAGTCACAAGCAATGTATTCCAAGGAATTTTTTGAGATTGGTAGTCAGTTCACTTTTGTCAAAGGAAGAACTCCGAAAGTCCCACTCCCCTGCACATGAGCCAAATATCACTAATCAGCTTTGTGTGTAACGTTTTTCCTTGGGGTGCAATATAATGGTTGCAAATTAAGAATTTCCCATTTAGTGGAAAATGTAGTTCTTTTGATGAGGATAATCTGGCTTTTGCTTAACCAGCTAAATATTTTTTTGATGGAATGATTTGTAGAATTTGCTTCATGCTGCAAAGATGGAAGTGGATAAAATCATGCTCACGGACAGATGCACCACTTCTATTCCCTCCTGGGCAGGTACGATTTGCCATTCAAGCTTCTAGCCCTTCAAGCTCAGAATTTGGTCATTAATTTTAAATATCAAAGACAACTTAATTGGAAAGTTTTCATGTATAGTTCTACTTCTGCCTTTCCCCCCAACTTCCCTATTGGCTGCTCGAGTAGAATTGTTTACACATTGACATTAAATTGTCGGGATGGGGAGGGGGGGTGTTTGTTGTTGGACGATACTAATAAACCTTCCTTCATGTATGCCCATTTTCAGATACCTGAGGAGCATTCTCTCTCGTCAGAGTTCTAAACATACCGTTTCAGAGCTAGTTGAATTCCTTTATGCAATAGATTCTTGGGTATAAATTCCTTGCAATCTACATACAATTGTGATGCAAACTTTATTGACTCTGCGATAGCAGTACAAACATTTGTGAAAATCATACATAATAAAGCTAGATGATTAAGTTCAGGATTTCGAAAAATTTAATCTGATAACCTTTTGGTTTCATTTTCCAATCTGCTTTTCTTCCTGGTAATGTATATGCAGGCAAGAAGAACAAGTTTCCTTCAGACAAGGATCTTGTTGGGGTTTTAATTCACATGACGAGTATGCTATTCCTTATCTAGAAATAGTCATGTTTAATCTGGTGCCCTTTTGTTTTGTATTAATGCCAAACTTTGACTGGTTTTCAGAAGTAAGAAGCGGGATACAAAATCGAAGCTTTCTTTATATCATAAGCCTTCAATAAGCTCTCTATCTTTCTAATTTTATTTTAGAAAATCAATTAACCCCACAAGAGAATAAATGCAAAATCAATTAGTTCAAGAGGATAAATTAAAGCCAAGGACAAGTAGTTAAGATGGTCTCCAAAAACGAATCACAAAAAGAGGAGATTCATTATTATACTTAATATAGGAGTCCAAATTATATATATTAAAAAAACCCTAAATGAAATAGACTTTAAAAACACACTCTCAACGCCCATTTACAACATAACAAAATGGCTTTTAACTTCTTTTAAATTACAAAACTGCAATTAATTTCTTAAAACAAACCCAACATCAGATTCTCATAAAAAAACCCAAAACACTCAATAGGACATCAAAGTAATTTAATAATCAAAATTAAATTCAATAGGGGCAGCTGTCATTTTTTGGGTTTCTTTATAGATATTAAATGGTGTATGGTTTATTTATATTATTAGTGCTGAGAATGAGTATATGACTAAATATCTCTATTTTCTTCAGGCTTGGAAGAAACTGAACTCTGAAAGAGCCCAAAAAGGCTTTCATTGTTGAACCTTGAGGCCCATACTTGTTCTTTAGGCTTGGAATTCATGCTACAGAATGGGCCTCCGAATGTGCTTGATCCGCATTTGGTTCGGGTTGGGTTTGGTAATCATAGTCCGGAAATGCTAGGGCGAAACTTCAAAAAGAACGACACCGTTACTGCCCAGTACTGACACTGAGCTCAAGAAAGGAAGTAGGAAGAAAGCCCCCCCCACTCCACCATAGTTGGGGAATTTTTACACCAAATCATCAATCCTTTAGTGCATGAAAGGTGAAGCTAAATCTTGGCTTTGCCTTTTTCATGCGTGGGCTCTATACATAACTAAAGCTTAGCTAAGCCCTAGCTAGCAATACTCATTTGGCACTCACAAAGTGGGCGGGACCCAAATCAACCCAAGCCATCGATTTTCATTGTTCTTGCACTCACAATTTACAAATATAATTTGAGATTGACAAAGGTTCTCCAGTTCACTTCTGAAAGTGATATTTCTGAGTTGTAGTGGTCACTAAGTAGCTTAGCTGTTGACATGCATTAAGATTTGGGTGTTTTTCATTTGAGATTGACATATACTGCCACAATGTTATGGGGTTCGAATCTAAAACCACTGACATACAAATTAAGGTTATTTTCTACTAAACTAGACCTCGTTAGCTATGAAAATATTTATTAGGAAACCAAATTTGCTATAAGATTTTGACATCCTTGTCAAGGCCTGGCCAGCACTGGCAACAAAATTCTGATCTTTTGGACAAAATTCTGATCTTTTGGACATATATATAAATTGAACGACTTTGGTGCTGTGGCCATAGTGCCACATTAAAACATTCTAAGATAAACCACAACCATTATTTCAAAGAATCTTTTTTTTTTTGTACGTTGACTTCCACACGACATAAAATAACAAGAGTATCTAATCCTATAGCAACTGAGCTTTCAACTTTATTTTCTATATAAAATATATATTGTTGATGATACTTGGAGTAATCTAATCCCAATAATTACATTAATTATGATTAATAAGGTTGAAATATTGGCATAAAGAGATAGAGGCTCAGCTTCTTGCTTTTTTCATCACTACCACCATATATATAATTAAGTGGAAGAATATGTGGCCGCATTTTCGTGAAAAAATTATGTCTTTGAAATGCTACTCTACGATACTGACCTTTTGGTCTAATGATTAATTAGTCATTTATTTTGTTTGATTAGGTTTCGAGCTCAAATCTTATGAATGATATTTTGGTATTTATTTTTCTTAGATAAATGATGTGATAATCTAAATTACTCTTGAGTGTAAGGAAACAGACTCACTATCTTGTCCAACAAGCGGCTATACTTATTTTGACACGTGGCGCCTAATAGCTAGTGAGCCCTATTTTCTCTATATATATATAAAAAAAGAATATAGTATCGCCGCTCGACTATACTAGGTTTTTTTATAATAAAAAAAATAGTACAGCCATCCGGCTATACGTATTTTGATACGTGGCGCCCAAATGCCCGGGAGCCCTCTTTTAAAAAAAAAATCAGTATAGCCGTGCGGCTATACGAGGTTGTATTAATATTTCTTATTAAATAGTATAGCCGGGCGGTTATACGTTTTTTACACGCAGTCAACTAGGCGCTACGGCGAACTTCTTTTTTTTTTTTTCATAAATAGTATAGCCGAGCGGCTATACTCTCTCTCTCTCTCTCTCTATATATATATAATCCTTTTTTTCTTTTAAATTTTTTCCCCAATATTCGTTTATCGATAAGAGTAGTTTAGAGCGTTGTCCATTACTAGTAGACTATTATTCGAGTTTCTATTGTCCCCTTTTAATTTTTTACTTTTCCAGAGTTATTACCCGATAAAGAACTTTCATGTTTAATACTCTATTATACACGTATGTATGTATTTTTCAATAATACATCCTTGTTATATACACGTCTTAAAGACTTGGTAAAATTCACATTTAAAAAAAAAATTCAAATGTACAATACTCTTATTGTACATGTACGTACGTATTTCTCATGTTTAATACACATTTTTTTTACAAAAGTTTCAATAAAACACACAAAATTAACATATTATACCTATAATTCTCACATATTATTGAATAAAAATGATATATATTAAAATATTATATAGTGGCCGATTAATATCTGCTTTGGATATGCTGAAACTAGCAAATTAATATATGTAATGCAACTAGGAGGCTCCTTTATTCTTAATTTGTTTTAATTAAATAGTATAGCCGCTCGTCTATACTCATTTTTATTAATATTTCTTAAAAAATTGTATAGCCGTGCGACGATACGGTTTTTCATGGGGACAACTAGCCGCTAACTCTGTTTTTTTATAAATCGTATCACCGGCCGGCTATACTCGATTTTTCCTAATTTTTAAAAAAAATAGTATAGCCGGTCGGCTGTACCCGTTTTTAATATTTTTATTAAAAAATTGTATAGCCGGCTAGTTATACTTATTTTGGCACGTGGCGCCTAATCTCTAGGAAGCCTTTTTTAAAAAAAAAAAAAATAGTTATTTTGACACGTGGGCACCTAATAGCTAGATGGTCCTTTTTTTATTTTTTATTTATAAATAAAGAGTATCGCCGCCCGGCTATATGCAGTTTTATTAATATTTCTTATAAAATAGTATAGCCGGCCGTCTATACCTTTTTTGACACATGGTCAACTAGGCGCTATGCGGCTAACTCTGGTTTTTTTCCATAAATAGTATAGCGGCGCGGCTAAACTCGATTTTTCCTAATTTTTTTGTTAATAAATAGTATAGCCAAGCGGCGATACTCCTTTATATATATTCCAAGTTTCAATTATGGTTTTTGTTCTTATTCATTATGCTTATAAGTTAATATGCTAGTTTGAATGATTGATCACCATTTAGGCTTGCATGTTAGCTATCTTGGTTTGAATTAAGAGTATACACCATGCTTTAATTCGAATTGAACTATGAATAGGAAGAGTATGTATGGACATTCGACAACAGGGATTAGATACATGCTTGGTTGTTTAAATTGTTCTTCTATGCTTAATGGGTTCCTAATGCTTAATTTTAGGTTAGACAACAAATGATCAAATTAGGGAATTAGGAACACAAGGTTATGACCACACACCATGGCTTAATCATACTTTAGCTAGAATCAATCCATTAATCTAAATTGAACTTGGGAACTTATTTGCTTGAGTTACTTTCTTATTTTCTTCCTTCTTTCATGTTCTTTGTTTTTGTTTCTGTTTTGTGTAGGAAAACTGAATTGGATCATTCAATCACCAATCCCTGTGGAATCGACCTCGCACTTACATACGCTAAACTACCAACGGTTCGTGCACTTGCGAGTATCACAAGTTGAGGATGCAGCTTAATCCATTTTGGTGCAGCTGAATCTACACAACAGTTTACACCATACAACTCCGTACCATTTGCTTAGATATTGTTTTCCTACAAACACTCGAACTAACTTAGGCATCGGAGGGCCTTTGGCCAACACCCCCCGGGTGTGGTCTATTTACTCCAATCTTTTTCATAGGAACCGCGAAGGAGAGAGAAGGAAGATCGAAGGTTGAAGGATCTAGAAGCGAATATTCTCCCGTGAGATTATTTGCACAAACATTTAATGAGATTATTCTCCCGGCGTAGCCAATATCGTTTGTATTATAAATAAATAAATAATAAATAAAAAAATCAAAGGCCTTCATTGTTGAACCTTCAGGCCCATGCATACTTCTTTAGGCTTAGAATTCATGCTACGGGCTGAGAGTCGTTTATTACTGCCAGTACTGAGACTGAGCTCAGGAAAGGAAGTAGGAATAAAGAGACTCAGAGTTGAAGCTTGAATAGCGTGCCTTGTTGTGTCCATGACCCTCTCTGTACCTCTCCCAGCTTCACATTGCTTTACAAAGGTAAGTTCACATTTACCAAACTTGTCGTCAACCAAACAAACCCTAGCTTGAGCTGCTGAAACAATCTTAGAAAAACTTGGGATTTGAAAGCAGGAGTGGGAAAATGCTTCAGGAACAGGTTTTCTTCTTCAATCTCTTTTCTCAATTGCCAGTTATGCTTACTGTTATACTTGGATATGATTAGTTTTCATAAGATATTAAAAATATGAGCATTAGAGATCAATTACATAATAGCATAAGGCTAATGTATCCAAGTATAACAGTAAGCATAACTGATAACCTCGGAGCTAGGCGCATTAGAGATCAATTGCATATTAAAATTCGCCCGCCTAGGCGCTAGGCGGCCTGGGCGCAAACATTTGTGAAAAATTATATATCATAAGGCTAGATGATTAAGTTCAGGATTTCAAAAAATTTAATCTGATAACCTTTTAGTTTCATTTTCCAATCTTCTTTTCTTCCTGGCTAATGTATATGCAGGCAAGAAAATACAAGTTTCCTTCAC